TGAAGAACACGAAGTGACCTACAGTTGGCTCCGGGCATTCAAAATCATGCCCAGGCATGGAGTTCTGGGAACTCGAAGACCACGAAGTGGCCTACAGTTGGCTCCAGGCATTCACAATTATGCCCAGGAGTGGAGGTCTGGGAACTCGAAGACCACGAAGGGGCCTACAGTTGGCTCCGGGCATTCAAAATCATGCCCAGGAATGGAGTTCTGGGAACCCGAAGAACACAAGGTGGCCTACTGTTGGCTAAAACAAGTTCCCGGCATCCTCCCCCGGATCGCGCCCAGACCCCCTGGGGCGTCAGGATGCTCTCTTTTGACCCCACCTAGAAACCTATCCGTCTTCGCTGTTAGGTAAAAATCGTCGTCCTCCCCCCTCCGCCTCCCCTGCTATCCCATGCTCGTCCTCTGATCTTTCCTTCTCGTCGCTCCTGCGCCTTTGCGCCCGTGCCCGTGTCCGCGCCCTGGCCCAGACCGCCCCGCCCGCGCGCACAGGCCCTGCAGCTGGGCACGATCTGCGAGGCGCGCCCGCGCGCCGCCGGGCCAGCCCCCACGGGGCCCCCGCACGCTGACCCTGCAGAGGGCGAGGTCCGCACGTCGTGGGCAGCATTAGTCGGCGGCGAGCCAGCAAGGGGGGGTGAGTGAGAATGAGAATTAGAGCGTGCATTACCTACCCCGCTTTCGCTTCCAGGCACGACCAAGTCATACCACGCGCCTCCTCGTCAAGCGGCCTGACCAGTACAGGCCGCAGTTTGGCATCGCTTGGTATCTCTTGGAAGCGAGGGTGGTCAGAAGCGAGGTAGGTTTGTTTGCCCCCTAAGCATGTCTTCTCAGAAGGCGGCGGGACTTCTCAGAAGCCCTCGCGCCTTCTGAGAGGTTGTTTTGCGCCTTCGGGGAAGGCTCAGGAAACGTCTCAGAAGGTCGGGGGACTTCCGAGCCTTCTGAGAGTCAAGAGGGAAAGAAACACACAGACACAATTAATCGGCGATTCCCCAGAAAATATGGGAAAATATGGGAAGTGGGGGGGAAGACAAAAACCCAGAAAATATGGGAAAATATGGGGAATCGTTTTATTTGTGTGTATTTATTTGTGTGTCCCAGGGCCCCTTCAGAGAGGGCGGGGTCCGCCCGTCGTGGGCAGCATTGCAGTCGGCCCGGATCAGTAGGTCGACCCTGCCAAGTCAAGGGCCGCTTGCCGAGGCTCCGCAAACTGACCCTCCAGGCGGCGGGTATGGATAAATTCCCGCCTCGGAGCACAGGCCCATGCGATCCGCATCATCCCGCGGAGGGCTCCCCATCCGCGCCACCCAGGTCCTGAGATGTTTCGTCGTTCTCGGGCTCCCGGGCCGCCTCCACGGGCCCCGGGGGCTGCCAGAAAGCGGCTCAGGATGGAGACATCGTCCCGGCGGAAGGCCCCCGGGTGCAGGACCCGCCTCCCTCGGGACCCGCCTCCCCCGTGCCAAATTCACGCGGGTTCGGTTCGATGCCCCGGCAGCTGGTCGGGGCCCGCCAGAGAGCCAGAGCCGGGCGCGGCGCGGCGATCCGATCCCGATTCGAGGCGGGACGATTCGTGTGCGGTCCGATCCATTTCCGAGCCGACCCGATCTCGCGATCCGATCCGGCTCGGGCCTGCCCGAGCCGCCGCGCCGAAGAGAGCCGTGGCGCGCTCAAGGCATCTCCGCTCCAGCGTCGCGCAGATCTGGGCGTTGCGCAGCGGCAGAGCGACGCTTCGCTTTGCAAAGGCAGGGCCCCCCCTGCGCTGTCGCAGTGAGCGCGGCACACATGTGGTGGTGGCAAAAAGCCGATCGCGGTGCGCTCTTAAATCATGTTAGAAGCGTTGAGGACCTTGTTTATCGTGTTCGGTATTGCTTGTTGTTGTTTTCTGCTTGGGGGTCTGTGTTGTTTCGTTTTGCGATTCTCGTTCGCACCGTTTTCGGTTCGGATTCGTTTCGTATTGCCGTTTTGCCATTTTCTGGGCTGTCGGGGGGTGGCCAGGAATTCGATCATCTGAAAACGAACAACGACAAAACAGAGTTTTAAAATCGATTGAGGGTGCCCTTTCCAGGACTGCCGTGGTTGCTGACGGTGCACATCGCGGACGCAGAAACTGCACCCAATATTTGGAAGCCAATCAGGAAATAGGTACGCCGATACCGCAACCCTTCTGTGAATTTGCCTTAGAATCCGGGTGAAAACGCACCCCTGGAGAGGTCCGGGGAGTAGCGGTACAGGTAGATTCTTGCCCCCCCGGAAAATGTCAAGTACCTCAGATTCCGCGGCCAGCTGGGGGAGGGGGAAGTGAGAGGGGGCGGGCCTTCTCAGAAGGCTCGGAAGTCCCCTGGCCTTCTGAAAGGTTTCCTGGCCTTCACCGAAGACACCGAAAGCCCCTCAGAAGGCCCGAGGGCTTCTGAGAAGCCCCGCCGCCTTGTGAGCAGGGCTTCTCCTCCGCACTTCCCCCCCTTCGCTCGCCGCCGACAGAGAAGAGCGGTAGGAGCATGCACAAAGTGGGCGCACATCAGAGCACGAGTCGGCTTCCCTTTTCCTCCTCCTCCTCCTCCTCCTCCTCCTCCTCCTCCTCCTCCTCCCTCCTCTTCCTCCTCCTCCCTCCTCCTCCTCGTCCTCCTCCTCCTCCTCCTCCTCCTCCTCCTCCTCCTCCTCCCTCCTCCCTCCTCCTCCTCCTCCTCCTCCTCCTCCTCCTCCTCCTCCTCCTCCTCCCTCCTCCCTCCTTCTCCTCCTCCTCCTCCTCCTCCTCCTCCTCCTCCTCCCTTCTCCTCCTCCTCCTCCCTCCTCCCTCCTTCCTGGGAGAGCATGGGCGAGGGATGCCAGCGAGTTCCGCAGCCGCGTGCAGGCGCACGGGGCCCAGGTCTGCAGGCCGAGCCGGAGGCCCGTGGCCCATGGGTCGTGGAGCCCGGCTTCGTCGTTTGCGAAGGATCGGTCGGGGGCGGAAAAGAGGGGGGTGATGACTAGGGGGGGGTGGATATCATGGCGGGGGTCATGATATTTCCCCCGATGTTATGGCGCCTCTTCTTATTTCATTACGTCCCTGCCCCCCCCCCGCTGGGCCGCGCACATGCCGCCAGTCATGATTTGCACCCCCCCCTCTTGGACACCCCCTCTTGGCCGCTCCCGAATCGGGGAGGCGTGAGGCTCGAGTGAGCCGGGCCTCGGGGCTGCCGACGTTTTCTGACGAGCGCGTCCTGAGTTTTGACGGTCCGGTGTTCGCGGGATGTCTGCAGCGGGTACATGGTGTATCTCAACCCCCCGGACGTCGACCTGGTTACGTCCTTCCGCACGCAGCACTTGAGGATGGTGATCTTGACGCGCCGTCGACGGTAACACCACATCGCTCTCCCTCCGGGACTTCGCCTCCGGCTCCTGTCCAAGGCGTACCTTTTCCTGTGCAAGCTCTTCAGTACCGCCTGCACCCCGCGCCCTCCGGCCGCCTGAGGCCCCTCCCGCCCGCGCCCTGTCTCCCCAATTAGTGTTTTGCGCGGCCCGCCTAGCTCTTAAGCGGAAGAGGCTCGCTCTCGACCCGCAGACCAAAAAAAATCGTGGGATGTCTGCAGCGGGTGCATTTCAGACTGGGTCTCGTCGTTTTCACGATGGCCCCGTCCGGCCAACCCGAGTCCCCCGTACCCGAGTCTGACGTCTCCCCGACAGGAGCTCTGAGATTTGGGATCCGTGGCCAGCTTCCGACACCAGACCTCGTGCGCAATCGTCGGTCACAGCACGTGGTTCGAGGTGCCTCTGCACACGTATCCACGGGCGTCCTGTACACACCCCCGCGGATGAGGAAGGGGCGCCCCTGAATTTGTTTGGAGCGCCGCAGGGTCCAGCTGTAGTCTTGCCAGAGAGACTCGTGACCAGGTCCAGGCTCGGTCTCGACGGTGGGGACGCTTCTGGGAGACCAGTCCTCCATCCATGCCGCCGTTCGCCCCTCCGCCCCCCTCCTCCTCCTCCTTCTCCTCCTCCTCCTCCTCCTCCTCCTCCTCCTGGTCGAGTCTGACTTTGAGGACGTAGCCAAGGCCATCATTGCCAGAGCTGATCATCATTTGAGAACGGCACAAAGAGCGTCAGAGAGGGCCTGGAGGCAGTGGGCCAAAGAAGCCTTCCTGGGAGGAGCATCTCGGGCACATTCGTCCTCCAAAGTTCGGGCTCGACAGGAGGTGCTTGCCTACTCCCACGACGCTCAGCCATACCAGATGGCTGACCGCACGCTCGACAAGTGGAAGGACGTTTGGACCTACCACGGTGCATGTTCTCTGTCGCTGCCTGTCGATCACGCTCAGTGGCCTTTGCTTCCGCCTTTGTCTGCATCGCAGGTGCGTGGAGCCATCAGGAGTTTTCCGTTGAAGACGGCCTCGGGCCAGACGAGGATCGCGCCACGCACGCTCGATGTGTTGTCCGACCAGGCCTTGCAGAGCCTGGCCGATATGTTCATGCTGTTTGAGAGTTGGCTGGCCTGGCCCACGGACAGGCTCTACAGCGAGCTTGTTCGCCTGCCCAAGCCTGACGGGGACACTAGGTTGATCGTCCTCAGCAATACTTTCGTCAGGTTGTGGGGAAAGCTACGTCGGCCGCTTTCGGCGGAGTGGCAAGAGGCGCATAGGTGCGAGCATATGTGGGGGTCAAGGGCTGGGCAGACTTCGACCGATTCAGCCTTCGACCACAACCTGAGCCAGGAGATAGGAGAACTTTTAGGTGAGCACACATGCACCATTCTCTTGGACATGACCAAGTGCTTCGATATGGTCAGTCACAGAGCACTTCTCCGAGAAGCTAGAGAGCTCGGGTACCCGCTGAGGCTCCTGTGGTTGCTCCTGGGCTCCTACCGTCAGCCGAGAAGGATCAAGTGCTTTGGGTCTGTATCTAGGCCCTTGGTGGCCCATCAGGGTATTCTTGCGGGCTGCACGCACGCCACGTACCTTCTATACCTCCTCACGTACCGAGCGGTCCAGCGCACGGCCAGTATTGCACCCTCTATCACGCCGCGCACGCTCATGGACGATGTGGGTCTGCAGTACGTGTCGCCCGTATTGAGGGAGGTGTCCAACCTGGCCCGAGCGGCCAAGGCGTTCACGTCGGATGCAGGAGATCTTGGGATGGTCCTGAAGCCGCCGAAGTCTGGATGTATCCCTGGGAACCAAAAGGTTTGGGGACAGCTCAAGAGGCACCTGGGAACCTTGAAGATCCCGTACAGGGCCCACATGAGGAATCTGGGACACGAGCTCACAGGACCTCGAGTTCTTCGGCATATGGAGAAGCGTAGGTTGGTGCAGTTTCGAGAGCGCAAGCATCGTTTTCGCATGTTGAAGTCCGCCGTGGGGCGGAGTGCTACCAGCTTGTGGCGCACGGGCGCCCTTCCATCAGTGGCGCATGGCGGTGCAGTTGCTGGAGTTAGCGACAGCGCTCTTCGTGAGTTGCGACATTGTGCTGCAGTCCTAAATGGTGCTCCAGGTAAGACGATGGTTGGGGTAACAGCGTATCTCATATCTCATCGGGATGAATGTTATGACCCCATATATATAACGCCACCACGGACATTGTGCTCAAATACGCCTCCTGGATCTGGGATGGGCGAGTGCAACCTAGCAGACTTCGGGAGGCTTGGGTACGTCTGGGTGCTAAGTTTGAGAGTTCACCTTCCTGGGCCAAGGCGCGTGGGCCCCTTGGGGCCACCTGGCTTACTTTGAGGCGCATATCCTGGACTATGTCGTCAGAGCACATCCTGGTCGACGATTTGGGAAACAGTTTTGATTTATATCGTATATGTCCAGCAGACCTACGAGTGTTCCTGCATCAAGGCATTCAGCGCTGGCAGCACCATAGGCTGCAGCAGCATTTTTACACCGAGCAGGCGGACGTGTGGCATCGTGCGCTGCGCCACGCGCTCGCCAAGGTAAAGTGTCACAGGCGCCTCGGAGCGCTGCAGGCTTTGTGGGCTGACAACCTTCCCATCCCACCGCGTCGGGACATGAAGCACGGGAGGCTCATTAGGCCATGTCAGGTGTGCGGCAAGGCTAGCGACTCCTGTTGGGGTCATATCTTTTACGACTGCCCGCCGCTCCTCGAAGGGGACCCCGACCAGGAGTATTATGAGTTTCCAGAACAGCTTCAGGAGGTTCGCGGCATGCTTCAGGCGTCTGGGCAGATGCTGGGGTGCGCCGACTGGGACCAGAGATACCTGATCTATGGGGTTCCCGAGCCAGTTGCAGTACCGCACTACACCGCGGTCTCCAATGAGGTTTTTGAATGGGGAGATGTCTCGGGCTCTTGGGGGCCTACGTCATATGCTGACGGTTCGGGGTTCTCGGCCAGCATTCCTGAAGTACGTAGGTGTGGGTGGTCGGTCTGCCAGCTGGACCCCGTCACGTGGCTCCCCGCCAGAGCTGTATATGGGCCCTTGCCCTACTATGTGCAGACAGTAGGACGTGCTGAGCGCTATGCCATCAAGATGGGACTTCAGAGGCATCCTGGGCATGAGGTTTTCATTTCTGATCTGAAATCGCTCGTGGAGGAGGGTGCGTCCTGGGACCAGAGGCTCGAGTTTGGCAAAGCGAAGCACGCCCGAGTCTGGAGAGATATTTTTTCGGCTGCCAGAGCACGCGATCCACGTCTGCCACCAGTGCGGTTTCAGTGGACTCCAGCTCACAGGAAGCTGGAGGACGTCATCGGGTCGGCCACGCCAGACGAGCTGGAGGCCCACGTCGGCAATGCCTGGGCCGACTTCTTCGCGAAGTGTGGCAGTGCGGCGCACATGGTGTCAAAGACACTGGCTGACAGTTTGGCAGCTGGGCTGAAGCAGCACAAGCAAGTCCTGCACTATGTGTCGTGGGCGGCCTTCCAGGTTGTGCAGTTTCGGAGGTGGGGAGCTGACCCTGTCGTGGTGCAGGACCCAGAGCTCGCCCAGGTGCCCGAGCGGGTGGTTTTCGAGAGGCCCCAGGACCACGAGTTGCTCTTCTGCCAGAGGACGTCAGAGTATCGGTGTCGACGGTGCAATCGTGTCGCTCGGAGTGCGAGTACCCTCCAGACTCTTCGTTCGGGAGCTGATCGGGCATGTGCTCCCTCGCCTCTCGTCCAGAGCCTTGCCGAGGACCTCTTTCTGCGGAGTTCTGAGGCGTGGCTGGGTGTTTCGGATTCTAGGGTTGCGGCGGCCATCGAGGCGGCCGATAGGATGTTGGGGTCCACGTCTCGGCCTTTGGAGGCCTCCTCGGGGTTCCCCGCGGTCCCTCCCCAGCCGCTGGAGCAAGTGTCTGCTGCCAGCGGCTCGGCCGACGTTCCCCAACCTGTGCTTGCCGAATTCGCTGAATTGGGGCATGACGTTTTCTGTGTTAATTCCGTGTATTGCTGCCGCAAGTGCGGTGGCAATTTCAACGGGTCCGGGTCCTTCAGGCCCGCCCGCAAGCTGCGGGCGCGGTGCCAAGGTTTCTCGGAGAATCCAAAGACTAGGGCGAACCAGCTCACGGCGATCGACCGTATCACCCGTGGCCTGGAGCCCCGCCAGCGTGGGGCAGGAGCGGCGCGTTCTGGCCCGAACCCTGCCCCCTAGTGTTTTCTTTTGGACTTGGGCCTGGGAGGTTTTCTTGGGTGTGGTTTTCCTGAGGCGCCCCACCCTCTCCCAGGCTTCCGCCTTCCGCCACCCCTGTGGCTCTCAGGTCTCACACGCGGTTGGTGTTCGTCACTCGGACGCCTCTCCTGCGGCTCGTTCGCTCCTCCTCCTCCTCCTCCTCCTCCTCCTCCACCTCCTCCGTAGCCATTTTGGCTCAAGTAATCCATGTCCCGAGGCAGCTGGCCAGGTCAGCTTCGGGGGGCTCCCAGTGGCGGCCCGACACCACAGGCTGCTGGAGCTCCCCCTTCTGGGCCAGTGCCCCACACCTTTGCCAATACGAATCCTTCTCCGCAGATGCGACTTTATTTTTCCGCATGGCTTCTGATGTCTCTGGCAGCTCTTCTGAAGGTCGAGGGGATCGCGATGAGCACAGCCGCAGCGGGGGCGAGGGGCGCCCGCGCCGCCGCGCTCGGCGCAAAGCCTGGGCTGATGCTGGCAGAGGCTCCACTGCTCGACCTGCCCAGCCCCCCCCACGTGCTCCTGCCCCTCGTGAGCGTAGTGAACGTGATCGACAGCGGCGCGGCGATGGACCTTGCAGCCTGGCAGCCCCACCGCAGTGGGCTGGAGCGGGCGGCAGCACTGGCTCTGCGGCGTCAGCCAGCGCGGCAGCAGCGGCCCCCCCTGCCCCAGATGCCCTCCAGGCATGCGATCCCTGGCGTGGTGCAGCGGCTGCGGTGCCACAGTTCTCCACTCAGGAGCTACGCGACATCGAGCGTGACTTCCAGGTGCTGGAGACGCAGGAGGACACAGCCACACCAACTGGCGGCACGGCCACGCCCTGCGCACCTGGCGCCAGAGCGAGCGGGACGCCCAGCACCGTCCAAGACAGCCTCCTGGAGCTGGTCCAAGCCCGCATGGACTCCACGGTCAGCCAGCTCAACACCATATGCACGCAGTCCCTGGCCACCGCCCACAAGGAGCTGGTGGGCGCAATGGCTGGCTACATCGACCCCGTGGTCAAGAATGTGGCCCACCAATCGAACGAAATCCACCAGCTCAAGCGACGCCAGACCGACTTGGAACAGAGCAATGTTGTCCTCCGCAAGCAGATCGGCGAGATCCGCGACCAGCTGGCGATGGCGGAGAAGGCCCTCCCAGCGACTGACCTGGCTAAGCTTGCCGAGTATGACCGCGAAGCTGACCCACTTCTCTTCTCGGCCAATTGCGGCTCAATGGTGGCCAGGAGCGCGGTCATGGCTAGCCTCTCAGAATGGTTCGGTGCCTCCACAGTGGCACCTGAATATCTGGAGCTTGTCGGTGGTGCGGAGGTCCCGTCCAAACGTTTCTTCCTTCGCGTTCGGGGTGATGCTGGCGTCGGCGGAGCCCGTGCCCTTGCGCTGGCTCGCGCGCTACGGCTCCCTGGAGGTAGCTGGAGATCCTTCCAAGTCAAGACACCTGACGGGCGCCTGGTACCCCTACACGTGGGAGCCGACAAAGCTCCTCGCCAGATTCGCCGAGAAATGCACACCAAGAGGCTCCTCTCCTTGCTGCAGCAGTCCTTCGCCACGGAACATCGCGACTGGACGGCCATCCGCCCGAAGGGCATCATCAGCGTCAATGCAGTACCCATCATCGAGGTGGTCCCCCAGGGCTTCCACGAGCCCTCGCGGATCTACTGGCACCCTGAGACCAGGCGCTACATCAATGACAACGAGCGGCAGCGGATCATCGACCAGTTCTGTGAGGCCACCACGTTCAACACGGAGGTGGATACCTCCACCTGGTCCTGTTCCTAGCCCACGCTGGACGCCCTGGGTGATGGCTGCTCCCCAGGGCCAAGGCTCCAGTGCAGCACAGGCGCTCCGCATTGCATCGTGGAATGCCCAAGGACTCCTTTGCCAGCGCGCACATCGCCGCAATAGCAAGATGCAGCGACTCTGCAAGCTCCTCCAGATGCGCATGCTGGTTGTCGTCCAGGAGGCGCACGGGTCCGAGATCAAGTTGCAGACGCTGGTGAACCAAACTCCATACCACTACCGAGCCATCATGTCGGCGGGCGACTCCCCTGGGGCTGGCGGCCTCGCCTTCCTGATCCCGTGGTTCTCTGAGGCGGAGCTTGCGACGATGGACCCACAGATGCTCCCTTCCCTCTCCTTGGACCCTGTGATTGATGGTCGCGTCGCGGTCCTCACTATCAGCAATTCGACTAACAACGAGCACATCAAAATCATGAATGTCCACAACCACGAGCTGCCCACGGCCAAACTCCCTCTCGTGCGCCGACGCTGGCTTGACGGAGCTGCATGGGCTCAAAGTGACGAACGGCACCGCATTTTCATCGCAATTGGGGACTTCAATATCGCTGACATTGAACCGGTGCACCTCTCTTCTCCGAGAGCGGCTTCGGCTTCGGCACCTACACGGGGCGCCGGGCGACGGAGAACGTCTGCTACTTCTTCCTCTTCCTCGTCCTCTACATCGTCCTCCTCCTCCTCGGAATCTGCCGCGGAGATGGCTTTGGGAGACGACCGACGAGCTGGTGGCAACAGCCGATCGGTCTGGCACCGTGGCAATCAGGCGCAGAGCTTCTGGCGCAACCTCTTCCAACGGGACCTGGTGGAGGTGGTGAGCGAGCTACCCACCCACTACTCCAAGCGCCACCAGTCATGCACGTTCATTGACAGGGCCTTCATCTCCTTGAAATCGCACTTCCTCTTGGACACCTCCATCGCCTTCGAGGTCTGGCAGGAGGCGACCTCACTGGCGGACTGGGGCCTCAGCGACCACGCCATCATTCAGCTGCGGATCCAGCCACGTGCCGCGGCTGCTCCCGACGATCGTGCGATCCCCCAGAGCGTCTTCCATTCGCCGCGGTTCGCCAAGCATGTCACTAACCTGCTCAACCATTCCGACTTCACGAACCTAGCGGAGGAGAATCGCTGGGCCGAGGTGAAGCTGCAGATGATCGAAGCTGCTCGCATCACCCGCAATGAGCTCCAGGCCCTCCCTCTTGGCGATGGCCACGCTGAGGCCCTCGAAGGCCGCAGAATCTCGACACGGGCGATTGCGAGAGCCATATGGAGGCAGGACCTGCACCTCGCGCACAAGCTGATCCACTCCACTGCCATGGGCCGTCAGCACCTCACCATCGACGGAGACAACCGCATCCTGCTGGTCAATCCCCCCGCATTTGAACGAGAGTGCATGGACCTTCATCTCGCCTGGCATGAACGCCAGCAAGCTGCAGCGGCCGCCCGACTTCGTGAACACGCACAGCTGCAGCTTGACGCGGGCGACCCCACCATCCAACAGATGCGGAAGATACAACGTGCTGCACAACGGCGAGCCCTTCTTTGGATTCCTTACCGTCGTCGGCTGGTGCTCAAGGGTCTTCGCATGGATGGTGAGGGACACCAGGCGGGCATCGAGCGTCACCCGACCATGATCATGGATGGCTTGCGTCAGCATTGGCAGCCTGCCTTCACAGATCACCCTGTCGACATCGACGCGGTCGACGATTACCCGCGCACTCACCTCCCTGAGTTTGACAGCCCAGCTCTGGAGGTTCCTTCCCCAGCTGTTCTTCGAGCTGCGCTGCTTCGTGCCAAGCCCACCGCCCCTGGGCCTGACCGACTTCCTGCGGCTGCCTGGCTGGCGGACCCACGGTTGGTGGACATCCTCTACGACATGATGATTGGCCTGTACCAGGGCAGGGGTGCGCCACATGGCTTCAACTTCGCTGACATGGTCTTCATTCCCAAGGGCGACGAGCCCTCGGACTCCGTGGAGGTGGTCCGCCACGCATCGAAGCTTCGTCCTCTGAGCCTCAAGAACTGTGATGCCAAGGCAGTGGCTAGTGCAGCGAATCGTGCACTCGCCCCACTCGCGGCAGCACGAGTGCATGAAAGCCAGCAGGGCTTCGTGCGCGGACGGAACTTCCTGTCTCACGTCGTCCGTCAGGATGCGGTCGCTCGTGCTGCCAGCCACCACCCTGAGCTGTCCCCCCTCTTTGTCTCCTTTGACCTCCGTGCTGCGTTTCCCTCCCTTTCCCAACCCTTCCTCTGGCGAGTGCTCGAGCGTCACCGCATCCCGAAGGGCTTTCTTAATGTAATCTGTGCCTTGTACTCTGGGGCTCTCGCCCACTCCCGATGTGGAGCATCCCGCCGCCCACTCTTCCTGGTGACGTCTGGCGTGGCCCAGGGCTGCCCCCTCTCAGGCACGATTTGGGCCCTGTCCATGGACCCCTTCGCCCGCCACATCCAGTCTCAGTTAGCGTCGCCCGCAGCATTGGCCCTCTGCCCGAGCCCCGAGCGTTGGTGCCCACGGCTAGAGCCTGAGTGCGGTGTGACGGCGGATGACGTTGGTGCCACTCTCCCCTCGATTCGACTTCTCCCCCTGCTCGTCCCACCCTTCACCGCCGCCCGCACGCTGGCGAACCTCGAGCTCCAGCCGAAGAAATGCTGCGCCGTTCCACTGGCTGAAGAATGCACGCCCTGTGTTGCCGCACGAGTGAGCGCGAAGATAACTGCTCTGGCCCCTGAGTGGGCTTCCTTTCACGTCCGCGGCTGCACTCCGTTCTTGGGATTCGCGTTTGGACCAGGGGCGTCTCTCGCGGATCAGTGGACCGACCCAATTCGTAAGTGGCGACGACGCACAGCCGAAGTCGCACTCAGCAGGACTCCAGCAGAAGCCAGCTGCCGAGTATATAACTTCGGCATCCTCTCGGTCCTGAGCTACGTCTGTCAGCTCTACCCCCCTCCTCCCGACCTCCTTCGCTCCGAGCGTCATGTCCTCCACCGCCTCCTCCGCCTCCCCCCGAATGCCTTCGGCCTGGGGGAGCTCCTGGGCCTTGGCTCCTGGCTTCGCTCCTCGGTCCCCAGGTCCGTGCGGGTTCTGGCCGGGGCCTCCGCCTGGCGGACCGCGGCGTCCTCCCTTCCCAGGGATGGCCCCAGGGGCTGGAGCCAGGCTTTGGCGATCCTGCGGGCCCAGGCCGAGATGCACGGACCACTCCAAGCTCTAGGCTCTCGAGGGCTCTCGAGCGCCGCGTGGCGTCGCTCGCTCTCAATCGTTGAATTCTTCGAGGAAGTGCTGCACGGCGATCCAGCAGGGATTGCCCGTGCCGCCTGGCATCGAGCGGAGGCTGCCGCTCGCCATGAAATAGCGGAAGCCTCGACCGCCGACCGACGGCCGAGGCCCCAGCGTGCCCTCTCCCTGAGCCTCCATGCGTCCCTCTACCCTGACTCCTTTCCCTCGCTTCTCGCCCGTGGCATCACATCCTGGCTTCCTCTTGCTCCTCCTCTTCCCATTGCTGACCTCACCTGCCGTTGGGAGGAGCTCCGACGAGTCCTCACTCGGAGCCCCCCTGCCTGGGCATGGGCCCATATCAAAACGCTGGCGGGGGCCTGGACTACAGCTGCCCGAGTCCCCTGTGAGCCGCCTCGCCATTGCATCCTTGGCTGTCCAGACGCATCTGATGACTTTGCCCACTACATCTCCTGCCCTCGCTTCCTGCACCTCCTCGCCGTCCCCCGTGGCTTCCTCCCCTCCTGTCCTCTCACCCGTCTTGGGCTTGGGCCCTCGCCTGACGCTGAAGTCGAATACCCGCGTGCGCGTTGCCACCGCGTGGTCGTCCTCAGCTTCCATATCTATCACAAGCTGAAGGCGGACCTGGCCTCCCACCCAACGAGGTCGGCGTCGCCCACTTACCATTACGAAATACGAGCTGCCGCTCTCGCCGCAATGCGTCGATAGAGCCCGCAGCAGTAGCTGAGTCACCGTCACCCAAGCTACGTGTGCTCCTCCTCCTCCTCCTCCTCCTCCTCGTTGCGCACTTCAGCGGCTGACATGTGCAATGCCGTACAGAAAATCCTCATCATCGTCCTTCTCCTCCCCGCAGGCCGACGCCAAGGGGTGCCTCGCCCTGGACGCCGAGGCCATGTCCGAGTTCTTCGCCGTGGGCCCTCCGTGGGTCGTCAGATTTCAGGACCGGCGCCGAGCAGTGTGAGAATGAGCAGGAGCGGCCCCCAACGTTGGGACGCGCTTCGGCGGCAGAGATGTCTACAGTGGAGGCCCATGCCAAGAAACACCCTGCTTGCCTCCAGGGTGCCCTGGGTTTCTTGGGTTTCGATGGCTTGCTGTGGAAAGGGCGACGTTCCCACGCCAAAAATCGATGGACGTCCTGGGGTCTCAGGGTTGGGTTTCTTGTGGAAGGTTTCTTGTGGACTGGCCTCCGCTGTATGGCACCGGCTGGCGGATTGATTGCGCGGAATGAGAGTCACAGACGTTTGGACGGATTCGGCACGTTCCCTTGCGATGATAGGAGAGGACGACGACAGTTTCCAAACGGCCCGAGTAGGTGCGTGATTCGGTTTAGCTGCTGCGTGCACACGTATGCTCGTATACTAACATCGCTCTGCCCGAGCATATTGGCCGCAGGCAAGTCCGAGGACTCTCTCAGACTGGCATTGTTGAGCGCGACAGGCTATCTCATACTTGAAGCTTGCAGAAGCGCGCATAGGCGACGCCCTGTTCAGAGATCTCCTTGTCCTCCTCTTTTGCCGCTCGGGCACAGCTTCTGCCTCACTTCAGCGTGCAGCAGGCTTGACTCTGTCATGCTGCGCTGGACGACGAGCGGTAGATGTGTATCCATCGGGGCGAGGGGGCCCGCTCACGCGAGTCCACATCAGGTCGCAGGCGCGCTCGTTTTTGTCCGGGGCGGGCAGCTGTCATTGCCCGGGTACGCGATGTCTGTGTTATTCCCTTGCGGAGTTTCCAGCAGTCCCTACCCTTCCTGGGGACCAGTTCTTCCTCCCGAGTCGTTTTTGGACGGTCCCGGCGCCCCACGAGGGCCCCCAGAGGCCGCAGGCGGCCAAAAACCTTCCGCCGTATCCTTTTCCTCCGTGGGGTGCGCTCGCTCCTGTTTTCCTGCTCCTCCCCGCTGGGAGCGCCTCGACTGGGCCCCGGCCAGGGGTCCCCCTGGAGGGGGCCAGAGGCGGCGAGGGCCCAGGGCCTGCCAGGGGGCCTTTCGATCGCGCGGGTCCCAGACTGCGAGGTTCGGGCGCGAGGATCCGTACGATCGGAATGGGTACGGAAAGACTGGTTACGGAGTCCGACAGCTTCGGTCGCAAATCATGATCGGGCTGGGCGAAAGGGGGGGATTGGGAAAGGGGGGGTTACGAAATTTGCTGCATGCAGCTGGTTTCGGCCTCACCGAGGGGCCCATTCCTCGATACATAGCCGCCTCCGGCGCCGGGAGGCGCCGGGAAAATCAGCTACGTGAGCTGATTCTCAAACCCCCCCTTTGCTATCCCCCCCTTTCGCCCGACCCGACATGAGGGCCTCGTGTACCTTCGAAGTTCCGTCTGCGGAGTGCACTAGCGTCGATCAGCCTCTGATAATCGATGAGAGAGCGTCGATCATCGTCGATGTGTCGTCGGCTCGCGTCGACTTAGCGTCGATTCGCAAGTGTCAACAGGATGATATGGGAGGTTCCCATGAGCTGCCACCGGAGACATCAGTTCCTGCTCATTTTGAGCAGGGCTCGCTGTCGGAGTTGCCCCGGACATTGCCCATGTTATACATAAGGTTGCATTCCCAACACCAGTCGCCGTCGGTTTTGGACAACACGTGTCGTTGGGCATCGTGCCCATAGTTTCCGTACACACTTCACGCGTCCACAAAGTAATGCAAATTATGCGAACACCCGAAAGTTCTGGTAAACACATTTTTCGTTGGGGAGGGACAAGCGACGGCGGAGAAAGAAACGGAAGGTGAATGCACAAGAGAGGCAGACACGCGAAAATTTGCCAGGCTTGGTGGCCGAACGTTTCGGTGACGCATCGTGTCACTGCTGGGGAAAAAAGTCGTCGTCCAAGATGTGCTCGCATCGTGAAAACAATATCCAGACGAAGGGCCCGACCATGTGCAGTTGTGAGTACCGCGTTGTGGGTAGTTACCGCTTTCGGTGGGGCTCCTCATGAGGCCACCAAACGTGTTGGGAGTGTGCCGTAATGGGTGGGGAAGACGCGTGCGGCAGCGGCCACTGGGGTCTTCGGTGGAGCTCCCTCTGGGGCCACGAAGCGTTGTATTGGGTGGGGGAACGCATGCGGCCCAGGCCACTGGAGTCTGCTGTGGAGCTTCCTATGTGGCCACGAAGCACTGTACTGTGTGTGGGAGACGCATGCGGCCGCGACCACTGGGGCCTTCGGTGGAGCTCCCTATGGGGCCACGAAGCGATGTACTGGGTGTGGAAAACGCATGCGGCCGCGGCCTCTGGGGTTCTCGGTGGAGCTTCCTACAGTTAGGTGGCGATTGTGGGTAGTGACATCTTTACGACGACGACGACGACCGTCGGACCGACTGAGGACACCGACCGACGAACGATGATTAGCGACAACGGCGAACCACGGCGACGTCCGACTAACAACGACGACGACATCTGGGGGGTTAAGTCGGGGTCCGTCTGGGACGCTGGGGAGGGTTTAGGCGGGGGCACATTCTGGTACATTCGGGGGTTCATTCACGGTTAATTCAGGTTCATGCGGGTTTATTCGGGTTTATTCGGCCCCAGCGGGTGGTCTCAACACCCTAGGTTATTGCAGGATTCGGGGCTCGAGGTGTTTTTAGCACATTCGCCTGCAACCGCCCTTCCTTTATCTATTGCCAAAAGCGGGTTCCCCGGCTCCGGGGCGGGTGGGGCTGCGTCCTCGAAGCGTTCCCTTCTAGAATTTTACCCGGCCAGCGCGTTCTAGAATTTACCTCGGCCGTTCGCGGTCAGCCTTCCAGATTAAGCCTCCTAGAACTTTGCGAAGTCGTCCGTCGGTGTCGTCGGTCGTCGTCGTCGGTCGGTCGGTTGATGCGTCCGTCGTTGTCTTCGTCGTCGTCGTTCGTCGCCGTTGGTCGGTCGGTCTGTCGTCGTCGTCGTCGTCCGTCGGTGGTCGCCGTAGGCCGTCGTCCTCGTCGTGCGGTCGTGGTTGGTCGGTCGATCTATCGGTCGGTCGGTCCGTCTGTCGGCGGGTCGGTCGGTGGTCGTTACCGTTGCCGTTGTCTGTTATCGGTCGTCGCTGTCGGTCGACGTCGTCGTCGTCGGTCGGTCGGTCGGTCGGTCGATCGCTCGGTCGGTCGTCGTCGTCGTTCGTGTCTCGTTGTCGTCGTCGTCGTCGTCGTCGGTCGCTCGGTCGCTTGGCCGCTCGGTCGGTCATTCATTCGGTCGGTCGTCGTCACCGTCGTTGTCATTCGTCGGTCGTCGCCTTCGGTCGTTGTCTGGTCTGGAGGTCGGCTGGTCGGCCGGTCGGTCGGTCGGGTGGATTTAACGGTTGTCGCATGAGTGGACAGCTAGAGCGAGGCAAGCCACGCCTCCACCACGGCCTTAACGAACGCACATACCTCGTCAACATTCCCACTGGTAACTTAGCCACCTAACAGTCGGGGGATTCGAAACGGTGTACTGGGCGAGGGTAACGCATGCGAACGTCGCCTCTGAGGCCTTCGGTGGAGCTCCCTATCGAAACGTGTGAGGGGTATGCCGAAATGGGTGACGGGGACGCATGCGAACACCGCCACTGGGGCCTTCGGTGGAGATCCTTATGGGGCCACGCAACGTGTGAGGGGTGTCACGAATCAGGTGCAGGGACGCGTGCGAACACCGCCACTGCGGCCTTCGGTGGAGCTCCCTATGGGGCCACGCAGCGTGTGAGGGATGTCACAGATCAAGTGCGGGGACAAATGCGAACACCGCCACTTGGGCCTTCGGTGGAGCAGCCCCTATGGGGCCACGACACGTGTGAGGGGTATTCCGAATCGGCCTTCGGGGCATTCGGTGGAGCTCCTTATGGGACACGAAACACTGGGTAAAGGAAACGCATGCGAGCGTCGCCCCTGGACCCTTCGGTGGACCTCCCTATGGGGCCACGAAGCGGTATACTGCGTGGGGGGACATGCATGCGGGCGCCGCCTCTGGGGCCAACGGTGGAGCTCCTTATAGGCCGCGAAACGATGCACGGGTAAAGGAAACGCATGCGGGCGTCGCCTCTGGGGCCCACGGTGGAGCTCCCCACGGCCCACGAAACGTTGCAAGGGGTAAAGGAAACGCATGTGGGCGTTGCCTCTGAAGCGTTCTGTGGAACTCCCGATGGGGCCACGGAGCGGTGTATCGGATGGGGCAATAAGCATGCGGGCACCGCCACTGGGGCCGCGGGGACGCATGCGAACGCCGCCATTGGGGCCTTCGGTGGAGCTCTCTATGGTGCCGCGAAGCGTGTGAGGGGTGTCCCGGATCTGGTGCGGGGACGCATGCAAACACCGCCACGGGCCTTCGGTGGAGGCCCATATGGGCCACGAAACGTGTCAGGGGTGTCCTGAATCGGGTGCGGGGACGCATGCGAACACCGCCACTGGGGCCTATGGTGGAGCACCCTGTGGGACCACGAAACATGTGAAAGGCGTGCCGAATCGGGTGCGGGAACGTGTGAGGGATGTCCCGAATCGGGTGCGGAGACGCGCATGCGAACACCGCCACTGGGGCCTTCGATGGAGCTCCCTATGGGGCCACGAAGAGTGTGAGGGGTCTGCCAACATGGGAGGGAGGAGGTGGAGGATAGAGGAGTGGGAGGAGGAAGGAAGGAAGAAACGAACACGGGGCGCTGTCTCTCCAAAACAAGGACCCAACACCGCAGGATACAGGTGGGACATTTGCCGCTTTTTGGCCTCCGAGGACCTTCGCCAGGCCCCAGGACCGTCAAGAAACGGCTCGGGATGAAAAGCCAACTTGGGGAAAGGGTCGGGATTTCCGTGGGGGCCGTATTGACAAATCAGGACGTGCCTGGCGCCATTGGCGTGCTCTGTTTGGCACGAAGTGTTCGAACTCTGGGCAACGCGCATTCGTCCGATTTGCGCACTGAGGCTGTTGAGGCGTATGCATGCGTGTCTCTACATGCGGATGTGCGTGGAAATCTCCAGGACGGCGCTTCTGTGTAGCTGCCCCATGGAAGCGAAGCCAAGCCAAGCAAATCTGAGCCAAGCTAGGGTAGGCCAGCAACCCATGCCTTAAAGCCAGAGCCTATGAGTCCAGGCCCGCCTCTTTCGCCTTGTAGCTATTTGTATGAGGCAGGGCTCTCGCATGCCACCCTCCCGAGCAGGCAATGAGAAAACTGTTGGGCGTCAATCCTAGCAGGGGATCTTTCAATGTGCTGTTGCACATGGGGTTGATCTCTCGTCGTATGTGCCTTCGTATGAATGTGATGTCCATGTGGACGGTGCGTATCGATGAACGGGCGGCTCCGCAAAGCGGGCTCTTTGGAGAGCAGGTGTCAGATGTGCCAAGAGGTGCCGCTGGGGAGGATTTCCACTCGGCGCCACTCCCTCGTGGACCTGGCCCGTGTTGCGAGCGCATTGCTGGGCTTTGGGCTCGTGAAGGCGGCGAGACGCAACCCCCGAATGACAGTTGAAAGATGTCGGCGGCGCGCCCAGGGGATCAGGTCTCAGAAGACGGGAGGGAGTCTGCGAAGCCCCGCCGCCCTCTGAGGAGGAGGAGGAGGAGGATGAGGAGGGAGGAGGAGGAGGAGGACGACGAGGAGGGGGCGGAGGAGGAGGAGGAGGAGGAGGAGGAGGAGGTAGGAGGAGGAGGTAGGAGGAGGAGGACGAGGAGGAGGCGAAGGAGGCGGAGGAGGAGGAGGAAGAGGAGGAGGAGGAGGAGGAGGAGGAGGAGGAAGGTTGGCCCTCTCTCCCTCCCCCCCCTTCCCGGGCGCGCCGCCGACGATGTCGAGCACCGCCACGGAAGCCGTGAGCTCCGCCTCTGGCCTGTCCCCCGGGGGGGAGACAGCGCGGCAGAGGGCACGGTACGCAGAAGACAGGAGAGGTGCAGCCTCCCTCGGCGGTCCATCCGCCGCTGCGCTCCGCCAAGAGGGGGGAGGGGAAGGTCCAGGGAGGAACGGGAGCGCCCGTGCTCGTGCGTGCGTCGCCCTTGCACGCCCTCTTCGCCGGCCTGCCGGTCTTTACCTTGCACGGTGCACGCTTGTTTGTCCTCGCAGACACCCGTACGACCACCCTTCGGGTGGGAAGGGGGGTGTTGGGGGGGCGAAGGAAAACCCGCTGGCAACAATTGCGATGGCTGCGGTGGCGATACAGTGGCGCCATCGCTCTCACGAAATTCACCACCGATCTCACCATCGATATCACTATCTCTCGCGATACCGGTCGCAGTATCGATCTCACGATCGATCTCAGTATCGATGTCATGAGAGATTTCACGATCGACCTCACAAGAGATCTCAGGAGACACCATCGGGACACCACGATAGGGGCACCCCCAGCCACGGCGGGGCACCCCCAGCCACGGCGGGGCCCAGATCTGCTGTGATCGATCTCACTGTCGATCTCACTATCGATCTCACTATCGATCTCCCGATCTCACGATCGATCTCCCGATCACAATCGATCACGCAATCGATCTCACTATCGATTTAGCTTTCGATCTCACAACTGACCTCACGAGCTACCATCGAGACACCACGGCGGGACACCCAGAGCCACCGTCGGGAAACCCCGCGCCACCGACGGGGCACCCCGCGCCACCGACGCGCCGCCGACGGGAAACCCAAGGCCACCGCGCGTCGCGGGGGGTAGGGACGGACAACCGGCTCCACAGCCCCTGGCCACGGCGGCATCATGTCTCTCGCGCGCCCATGCAGATTCGCCTCGCCTGCACGCACAGCGCGAACACGAAACCGAAAGCGATTTCCTGTTGGGGGGCTCTCCGTTCCACTGAGATCTCACCCCCCCCAATCTCCGATGCTCGCCTAGCGTAGCCACCACCCGACTCGCCCAGCGTAGTCCTCACATCTGCAATCTCACGTAGAATCGACCAGAAGCGCGCCCCCCGCCTTAGCTCTCGCTGCAGTGACGTCACTCGGTCGCTGGAGGAAGAAGTGTGCGTCCCTCTTGAGCTCTGGAAGGGCTTCGGGGCGCTACAGCGGAGGACTGGTCTCCGAGTGTATCCCGAAGAGGGGTAAAAGGCTCCTTATGTAAGGAGGAGGCGGAGGAGGAGGAGGAGGAGGAGGAGGAGGTGGAGGAGGAGGAGGAGGAGGAGGGGGAGGAGGAGGAAAAGGAGAAGAAGGAGGAGGAGGAGGAGGAGGAGGAAGAGCAGGAGGAAGAGGAGGAGGAGGAGGAGGAGGAGGAGAAGGAGGAGGTTTCCTGGATCTGTGCTGGGCCCCACCCCTGGAACGCTCGGCGCGCCACGGAGGGAGGGCCAGCTCCGATTTGGGAAAAATCTGCGCATACCTCCGAGAGCGTACGCGTAGGTGCCCAGACAGGCGACGTCCCCGTTTTCTCACTGCGGGGTGCCCGGAAGTCCCGACCTTGTCCCGGGGTCCGGGCTTGCATCCCGAGTCGTTCTCCGCGACGGTCCTGGGGCCCGGCGAGGGCCCCCTGGAGCTTGGAGGCCAAAAGTATCATACAAGAACGTCCCGTCGTGATCTGTGCACGACTCCAGCATGTCTGGGCTTCTACAGCGGGTTCTAAACGTGGCAGAACAGGACATCAAGAGAGCCCCATCGGTGAAGCGGGGAGCCCTGGACCGCCCAGCCTGGCAGCCGCTTCGCCTCAGACGCCCTCACAGCTTGTTCACGCTGCGTGCTCTCGCCTCCATGTCGGCTACACTTTCGGTCTGGGCGGCCACGGTGCACATGGCCTCGTTCTCGCCCGAGTCCTGGCTGCATCTGTCCCAGAAGTCCAAAGAGACCCGTAGGAATGCATTACTTTCACTCGCCGACTTCCTACTCCTCGACCCGCCTCTTCACCTTTGCTGCTAATAGGTTGTTTTGCTGGGCTAATGTTGTTTTTTGTTTTGCTCTCCGGTCAGGAACTGTTGCTTAGCTTGTTGCGCCGCCGTTTCTGGCCCACCACGATTCGGCGTAACACGCTATCCACGTCGCGGCCCCTGGGCGTCAAAATCGCCAGCTTTCCCGAGCCTTCCGCCCCGCAGAGCGGAGCGACACGCTATCCGCTCGCATGCCACAGCGTGCCGCAGGGGACGCCGCCGCGAGATCCTAAGCAAAAGTTCCAGACCGTAGCGTCACTCTTCGGGGCCCGGTGGAGCTTCTTGGGCCGTCCTGTGGGGCTCTCGGCCCGACCGACGCGCTCGGAGGACGTCTTGGGGGCCTCTCTGAGTGGTCCTGGTGCCCCGAGCGCATCAGGGCCGCTTCGGGGCCCTCGTGGAGAGCTGCAGGGCCACGTGGTGACCTGCCCTCCGCAGGGCGGGCCACCCCGCTCGCCCCTGCCCCCCGCGCGGCGGCGGCGCGCAGGACCTGCAGCGGGCCGCTCCGCTCTGGCAGGCGTACACGCCGCGGATCCGGAGGACCTCTCTCCGCGCCGCTGGCCGGCCGTGGTGCCCTCCACACTCGAGGGGAGAAGCGTGGACCAGGACCAGAATGTCGGGATCAGGTCGATGCCGATCTCGGTCCTGGTCCATGCCGGCCGTCGCCGATTCGCGAGGATGGTCCACGAAGTGGCGCTGGCCAAGGTGGACGGTGACCAAGATCGACGCGACGTTTCCGCGTTCAGTCTTGGTCATGGTCCCCGTTTTCGTCCACTCCACGCACGGTCCGTGCGGGCGGAGCTTCCTGCGCTCGAGGTTCGAGGCTCGAGGTTCCAGATTTTCTGACGTTTTCGTCGGTTCTCGGCGGCTTGACAGCCTCGGGATGCTCTCCAGCAGCTGCGCCTCGCCGAAAGCGTTCCAAGGGTGTCCAAGTCATCCATCCCGAACGGCCGCCGAAGACTCGGGTTATGACCCGGAAACTCCCTCCCTCAGACATGCTCGCGTCGTGAAAAAATCACGACTGGAGTTGTTGTTCCCATGTTTGGCATCGGGCCCTCGCCGAGCCTTGGGGCCGTCAGAAAACGGGATGAAGAGCACGCCCTGGGAAAGGGCTGGGACTTCCAGGGGCCCGGTATGGGCAAGAGACATCGGACGTCTGGGGCCACAACGGGGAGTGGTCGACAAAGAAATGACCATGAGGGGGCTGGATCGAAGACGCCTACGGCAAATCATCGACGCCCCTTGCGTTTCGGAAGCGCCTACTGTACGTGGCAAAGCGTTGTGGCCAGAGCTCGGCCAAGCTATCGGGTCACGTGTTCCCCCAGCCGTTGTGGAAACGCTTCGGGGAACACGTCGGGGAGAAAGAAGAAGAGGAGGAGGGATCTCTTCGGGCTTTCCTGAAGGATCTCTCGGTGGCCTCTGGAGGTCCTCTCGAGCAGTCTTGAGTAATCTTGGGGCCATATTGGGTGCATCCTGAGCCGTCCCGAAGACAGCGTGAGGGCACACATCAGCAGGCCGTTCTCTATGTCTGGCGGCCGTGGGCACAACCTTCGGCGACCATCGGCAGCCCGATCGCGGCCCAGGGCACACCCTGCGGCGCGGCCATCGGCTGGCCGATCTCACGCTCGGCGACCGAGGGCGAATTCTCAGGCGCGGCCAAGCCGGCAGCGCAGCATTCCACAGCGTTGCCCATTGCGCGATACGCATCGGGGCGCGACCTTTGGCGCAGCCTGCGGCGCAACACCTGCTCCGAGTTTCTTAAGAAGCGTCGGGGGGGGGGCGTCACCCCCTCCGACAGCCCCACATCGACCCCCGTCGCGGGCAGCCACCGCGCGCCGAAGGCGCTCAAACCCCCGTCGCGTTGCGACGACGAGGCGAGGTTGACCCCCGTCGGGGGGGTACCCCCGCGCGCGGGTCACTTTACAACCAGAAGCGCACTTCACAACAAGATGGGTCACTTTACAACCAGCTTACAAAATACGAGAAGGGCAGTTTACAACCAGGAAGGGCACTTTACAACCAGGCAAGTGGAAACACATATGGCATGCACGCGGGCCTTTCCCTGAAATCTCCGTGGGCAAGCGCAAGGGTGGCTTTGGGCTCTTTGAGGCATGGTGGCTGTAAAGTTGCCTATCGCGCACGAAGAAGCACTGCGTAAGCGTTGGTGATGCGACGACCTGCTGCGCTATGGTACGTTGCGTGCTGGTGGGCGGATGCTGGTTTTGACCTGCTCTCTAAGCTCTGTCGGTCAGTTCTGCCATTGCTTGCTCTGCCTTTTTTTTTCTGACGGACGAAGGCTACTCGCGCAGGACATATGAATAAACCATGATCCTGTCCAAGACTGGAGCTGCATGACAGGGGGAAGCTGTAGCGGGAGATGTGGTGGTAGCGGGGGCTACAATGGGAACTGCATGGTGTTGGGAAGCTGCGGTGGCAACTGTGGTGGTCGCCAGGCAGCGGTGGGAACTGCGGCGGTAGCTGGGCTGCAATGTGATCTGCGGCGGTAGCAGGGTGTCAGTCAGAATTGTGGAGGTAGCGGAGCCGCAGCGGTAAGCGCGGTGGTAGCAGGGTTGCAATGGAAACCGCAGTCGAAGGGGTTCAATATAAGGCCGTTGGCGAAGACCCCGGCCACTGTCTTGAACATGGCGGTGACCGCGGAGGCGGGCGCGCCCCAGTAGGTAGACGCGGAAGGAAGGCACGTCAAAGGAGAACGCGCCCAGCGGGAATGGACACCGACCTTGCCGAAACCGCAGCCGTCGAGCCCCCGCCCAGAACACGGGCAGTGCGGAACCTCGCGCGGGGCCAAAGGAAAGTGGCAGGCACGACAGGAGGTGGCGAAGCGCCGCCGCTCAGCTGGAGGGCCAGCGCCTTCGGGAGAGAGAGGGGGGTGGGGGGGGAGAGGGAAGGAGGAGGACAGAGGGGGGGGGGGGGGGGGGGGGGGGGGTGGGGGGGGGGGGGGGGGGGGGGGGGCAGAGGAGGGAGGAGGAGGAGGAGGACGGAACCGACGACGAGGGACGGAGAGAAGGGACTGTGAATCAGGGAAACTGAGGCCGAAGGGCATGAGGAGGACGAGGCGCCCTACTGCTCCCTCCTGTGATTCCACTCCTCCTGGTCCTGTTCCTGTTCCTCCCTCCTCGTCCTCCTCCTCCCTCCTTCTCCTCCTCCCTGCCTCCTCCTCCGCCTGCCCCCCCCCCCCCCTCTTCCTCCTCATCCCGCCCCTCCCCTTCTCATCCTGATCATGTTATCCCTTGCTCCCCCTGTGTTCTTCTCGGCCTCCGCCGCCCCCCCCCCCCTTCCTCCTCGTCATCCTTCTCTTCGTAGCTGGGATGGAAGGAGTCCGTCTTCCCCCCTTCCTCCTTCTCCTCCCCCCCTCCTTTTCGCCCTCGTCATCCTCCTCTTCGTCATCCCCCTCGCCCTCCCCCCCGCCCCCCCTCCTCCTCCGCAATCCCACCCCCCCCATTCCCCCTTATCCGTATACCTCATCCGCCTCGCCCGCTCCCCCCCCCCCCCCCCCCTCATCTGATCATGCGTCCTTCCTTTCCATCCCCCTGCGTCTTCCTCGGCCTCCTCCGCCCCTCCCCCTCGCCATCCTCATGTTCCCCTTTCCTGCTTTCTACTCCTCCCGATGACCCCAAGATGATCCGACCCAACCTGTTCGGCCTCGGCGTCGTCGTCGTCCTCCTCCTTCCCCTCCTCCTCCTCTTCCTCCTCCTCCTCCCCCTCCTCTTGCTCCCTCCTCCACCTCCTCCGCCTCCTCCTCCCTCCCTCCTCCTCCTCCACCTCCCCGCCCCTCCCTCGCTCTCCTCCTCCTCCTCCCTCCCCTCCTCCTCCTCCTCCTCCATCCTCATCCTCCTCCTCCTCCCTGCTCGCCGCCTCCTCTCTTCCCCCCCTCCCCCTCCTTCACCCCCGCCCCCCCCCCCCCCTCTCTCTTCCCCCTCTTCCTCCTCCGAAAACTGCTTCCATCTTCTCCCGGCCTAGAGGGGTATACCGAGGGCCTCGTCCTCCCTTCGACGCGGCTCCGCTGGCACAAGGCTGACGTCGCGCTGGCACAGCGGTGGCGGTGATGCGCTGTCACGGTGGCTCCAGCTGCTGCGCTGGCACGGTGGCTGAGGCTGCTGCCCGAGCAGGACACCTGCGTCGCTGCGCTGGCACTGTGGCGGACGCTGGAAGGAGCGATCTTCAAAATAGTTTGATGTATTCGGAACGTTGAACCTCGATCTTCCAGGAAGAGGAGCAGCAGGGAGCCAACTGGAGCTGGAGCACTTAGCCCCTTGCAGAACACCGTGGGGCTTCAGGGGCCAACGTGGCCCAAGAGACCCGCGGCGCCACTGGCCTAGTTCCCTGGGGCGCTGGGCCCTTGTGGAGGCCACTGGGCTCGCTTCCTGTGAGTGATCTCTAACATGGGCAGCGCGTCGCCCTGGGCCTTCCTACGTACGCTGTTGCCTTATTCCCGTGCGAGCACTGGGCCCTTGTTGAGGCCGCTTGGCCCCTGCTAGCAAACCCTGTCTTAGTCTGCTGGGCTCAGAGCGCCAGAGCGTCCAGGCGCTCGGGCTCAGGGGCATCGCTGGGGCCTGCTCAGAGCGCCCAGGCGCTCGGGCTCGGAGGCATCGCTGGGGCCTGCGCAGAGCGTCCAGGTCCTCGGGCTCAGAGGCATCGCTGGGGCCTGCGCAGGGCGTTCAGGCGCCCGGGCTCAGAGGCATCGCCGGGGCCTGTGCAGAGCGTTCAGGCGCTCGGGCTCCAGAGCGCCCACGTGCTCTGGAGCACCTTTCAGAGCGTCCGCGCGCCCTGGAGCACTCTTGAGAGCGCCCACTTGCTCTGGGGCATTTTTCAGAGCGCCCGCTTGCTCTGGGGCACTTTGCGGAACGCCCAGACACGCACGGCCACTCTGAGCTGGTTGTAAAGTGGTCCGCTCTGGTTGTAAAGTAGCCCGTTCTGGTTGCAAAGTGGTCCGTTCTGGTTGTAAAGTGGGCCGCTTTGGTTGCAAAGTGGACGTTCTCGATGAAAAACCATATTTTCCAATCCTGTGTTGGTTGTAGAGTAACCCATATGGTTGTAAAGTGGTTGTTCTGGTTGTAAGAGACCGAATCTCCCCCTGGGTACCCCCCCACGCTTGTGGAGAAACTCAGAGTATGGCGTCGCGCGTGCGGTCTGGAGGTCTCGACCCCGTGCTTCAGGCGGCACGGAGGCGGGGGGGGGGAGTCGGAGGCTGGCGGCGACGGCGAGGCCGGAGCCGAGGGCGAGCAGGCGGGCCGTACTCTTGGTGATTCAAAGATGGGGTCCTGAGGGATGGGGTCCTAAGAGTAGGAAGAGAACCAAGGTTATGTTGCTCCAATCGTATTGAAAGACCACATCCCAAAAAACAAGTTCGAGCACCCAGACAAGTAACGAAACAGTGTCGGACGAGTATCGCCTCCCAGGGCCCGACACGTGAAAATCCTCCAGTTTCGGTGCTTTCCTGGTGCTCGAAATTCTTTCTGGTGACCAAGGCTAAAATAGGTTGGGACATCCTAAACCCGAGGGTGGATTTACACTGTTTGAGG